AACATGTAATCTATATATCCTGTTTGCCTCATACTCAGCAAATGACCTGAATCAATATATAAATGCAGCAAACAGTCACAGGATTTGCTGGGGTTCTTTTTGTGATAATTGGCTCATTCATGATGCCATGCATGCCCGTGCGGTAGAAATTCCTGCTGTCTTATTGGTGGTTTGGGCTTGGAAGCACGCTATGACCCTTTGAACCTAAGTTCTGCTGCCTGGCCGCTAAACGTTTCTGACTCTCAACTCCCTCCACTTTAAAAAGGGGGTAACACAGGTGTGCGTCCCTGGGGGCTCTCATGAATGGTGAACAGGTGCGTGTCCCTGGGGGCTCTCGTGAACGGTGAACAGGATAGGCGATGGCCAGATGCATCGTGAGCACTTGGCAAATTTGCTCCCCCTTCTATGGTGGGGATTTTCAGCCTCTTGAGATCTACTCAGAATTTCTGTCTCTTGAAGATTTACTCAACGGAGGCTGTTTGAAAGCTGCAGGGCATGATTAGGTCGCACACGACGTCAAACCCAGCACCATGAGAACAAAGGGGCAGTGGGAGAAGTCATAGATCCTAGTGTTGCAAGTCAGAAACGTTCAGGAAACATCAGCATCCTCTTCCAGGGTTTCCTGGATCCTCCAGCGTTCAGGCAGGACATCCCCCATGATGACACAAACATCGTGCACCAGGAGACACAGTAAGAAATCCATCCACTATCAGTTGAGTGGGTCCCTTTAGGTCTGATGTACCACTGAGCTCTTAAAACGAAAAAGGCAGTGGGAGCAGGGGAAAGGAAAAAAGTAAATAAAATAGACCACCTACAACAAAAGAACGGACGCTTAATTATTTGCACAAAGCATTAGAAAATACTGTGATATTTTATTATTAAAAATGCTGCTGAAAAGTTTATACATATGTGTCCAGCCATATATATCTTCTATCATTACTTAAGGCAAAATCAAAAACAAAATTGCAAAATAATAACCCAAGAAACCATTAAACCCTGCGTGCCTGTGAAGGTCAAGAATAAAAGCCTAGGAAATTTTTTTTTTTTTTTTTTACTTAATTTTTTTCCCATTTTTTTTTCTCTTTTTTCACTTTTTTATAGATAGCAAGTATATTTTATTCTCATAGAACTCTATGAAGATTCTATAACTTCTTTCCATGTAGAAATAAGATATCCTTTAAGATGTATTAAATTTCTTTTGATCATATCCTCTGTAAAAGCTAAAGTTATTCACTTAACAAGAACTCTTTTTTTTTCCCCTTATCCAAATGTCACAAGCCTGACACATTAGTGTGCATATTGCTAGCAGAAGACAATTGGAAATACTAAACAAATATTGGAATTCACATTACAAACATACCGGACCCACACTGATGCTGAGCATCACTTCCCATGGTAGACTGATGGAGAGCCTACTTGCCGTAGCCCAGGTGTGTGTGTGTGTGGGGGGGGAATACACAGCTTGCAGAAAGGACCTGACGATACCTTTAGAAAGTGATGAATTAATTGGGGGACAAAACTTGTATCCGTGACACCTCTAGCTGCAGAAAAGGAGTGTGGTTTCACCATGTGCAAAGTAGGGATTGAAAGAGTTCACATACGTATATACAGACAACCACTCTCCAATTTAAACCCAGATAAACGACAGGACTGATTGGGTGACCTCCAGGCGTTTCTAAGGACTGTCTTTTTCTAGAGGGCGTTTTCGAACACGTCGATGGAGATCACTGCAGGTTTAGCGCTGGGGCGGGGAAGGGGGGAGTCACTTTGCGAAGGTAGTGCTCGGGGAGCAAAAGGACGTTGGACTCTTTTTTGGGGAGAATCCCCAACTCAGCAATGAGTTCTAAGCCTGGGTTTCCAAAACAACGCCAGTCGAGCCCAGAGACAGTATTTTCAAATATCTTTGGCTACTAATTCCTGATGTTGCAATAATTCTCGAAAGACACAATACAGAGTAACCACTGGCTATGTGTTCCTTCCACTTTATGACACTCAAAATATTCGTTCAGGAGAAGGAAAAGGACGACGGGAACATGGGAAGGTGTCGGAGGGCGAATCTCCGGTCCCCAGCTTGCTGATTTAAAATGGGTGAGTAATTTCCGTTATCTTACCTCGACGGTCAAAGCTACCCTAACTTCCCGGAAAACCCATGCAAAGCACTTTTTAATGTTTTGTCCTTTTCTGTGGGTGGGTTTCGTGCCTGCAAATAGTCATTGATCAGGGTCTGATACACAAGTCCACAAAAGGCAGGACTTTTCAGACAAGCATATGTTTTACCCAATAAATGATAGAAAGAATAAAAAAGTCTTGCTTACTGATAAATAAGGGACTTACTACTTAAACAAAAAAAAAAGGAAAAAGAAAAGAAAAAAGGAAAGACACATGCCCTCGCTTCAATCTGATTAGCTAAGCTGAGCAGGTAGTTCAGCAGCTTCAGCCTTCTGCAGCTGTGGGTGAACACTGAGCCGTATTTACTCTGCAGGGCACGGCCCCACCAAAGGCAAGCTTTCTTTCCTTTTTTGGCAGGACCCTGGGGTGGGAAGCAAGTCTCCCTCAACATATTCAAAGAACCACAACTACAGACCGAGATCTGTGTTTTGTTTTTCCTGCCGTCGCTCTGTGCGTGCGTGCTTCTAATTTTTTCCGCAAAGGTTTCAATAGAGACTGCACGCTGGGGATCCGTCCTGGCGTTGCAACTTCGTGAAGCTAACACACGAACATAAAAGTTTTCTCAAACCACGGTTTCCTAAGAATGCTGTTGCATGCATTTGTGCAACCCACAGAGGGGGAGAGCCCCACCACACAGAGAGTCTGGGTCCGCGGCACCACACCACATCCTCCTACAAATGAAATGCATTAGAAAGCCCCGTGTCTTTGCTTACCACAAGGAATTAAGAAGAAAACCCTCCTGTGTCCGGGAGGAAACAGAGGTGAATGACTAAATGTATATATATATTTATATACATACAGACCACAATGAAAAGCACAATCTTGGTAAAAGCTCTTTCAAACTGAAAACACCAATAAAAGCTTTTTTGTTGGTTGGTTTTTTCTTTTTTTTCTTTTTTTTCCTCTGTGTGCGTTTTTGTTTAAACTCACAGCTATATACACTTTTTTGTTCTGCTTTTTACAAAGTTTTTTAAATATAGTTCAGGCCGGCAAGACATCTCTTTGCCCAGAACTATAGGTATGTTACTACATAGTCTGCTCTTTTAATAATAAAATTCTACTTTTCCTCCTCTCTGGATTACAGCTCCGTATGCTGGGTAAAAGCCCACAGACTCTTTCCTTCCGTAGAGCCATCCGTCATATGGCACACAAAGAACTCTTTTCTGTTGTTTGTTTTGTTCTGCTTTTCGGGTGTAATTAAAAAAAAAAAATTTTTTTTTTTTTTTTTAAGTGTCCCTGGCTGAGTTCCCCAAGGGTCAGCTTCGATCGTTGCATCGGAAGCATCCAGGGCCTTGAGACGGTGATGTCCTAGTCCCGCTAAACATTCGCTGGAGAGACGGGGATGGTAAAGCAGTCCTGGAACGGAGATGTACACGTTTTCACATTTCATAGGGTCAGAAGTTGATCTCGTAATACTGGGAAATGCCAACAGGATGGGTCCACGGGGACACAACGGCGGCCCCGTTGCTTCTTTTGTTTGTTTGTTTCTGTCCTAAGTCAGTGGGGTGACAGACATTCCTCGCGTGGGGATGCTGCTTCTCTCTTTCTCCCTCTCTCCGGTGGAGGAGGAGCCGAGGAAGGGGAAGGGAACCGCGCAGCTATACTCTGGTGGTCGAGTGTCCGTGGGGGAGATTCGTACTGTTTTGTCCTCCACTGAAGGTGTTGAACGTGTGCAAAGGCTGAATCCCCGTCAGTGTGTTTGGAATCATGGTGATGGTGTTTGGTGTCATGAGTGGGATGTCATCCGGAGAGCGGCGCAGCGTCAGGGTGTAGTCTGGGGGACAGGTGAGCCTCAGCGTGTCGTGAGCCTGCAGGGACTCGCACTCGTGGTCGTGCTCCAGCTGCTTCATCTGCAGCGACATGATCTCTTCGTTCTGGATGTGAGCGATGTCGTTGGTCGTGTTCCTCTGGGGACTGGGGCGCCTGTGAGTCTCGTGGCGTCTCTTGTCCTTCTTGTAGTACAGAGCCGCGAAGGCCAAAATGTTGAGGAAGAGCAGGGAGGCCCCCACGGCGATGGTGACGCTCAGTTCGGTGGAGTAATCCCGTTTGGTTTCGATGAGGACGGTTGTGTCCTCGGGCCCCGTCTTATGAGGGTCCTTGGAGTGTTTGGGGTTGTTAGCGGGAGTGATGGCTGGGCGTTTGGTCGTGGGCCAGATCTTGGCGGGAGACCGCCGGGTTCCATAGGGAAAGGAGGTCATGTCAGGAGGAGGGACCTTTGTGGTGGTGGAGACATACTGGAAGATCTCATTCAGGTTGTGCAGGTGGGGCACCAATTCCAGCCAGAAAGCCACCTTGGTGGCTCGGTAGTGATCCCTCACTCTGGGCTTTAGGCCAATATGCAGATAGAGCTGGTCTTTGGGGTTATACTTGGACCAGGCCACTTCCTCAAAGCGATTGGGTTTTGTATGAATGAACTTGGTGTCCTGAGGAACAGGCTGATTGGGGTCACTGGAGATAGAAAGGAGAAAAGAAAAAAAAAAAGAGGAAGAAGGTCACACTCTTCGACATGGGACAAGTAAATCTCTTCATCAAGTACAACAGGGAATTACAACCAGTTACTCACACATGTTTATTGATGAGCACCAAGTACCCGCGGAGCGACAGACTCATTCTGCTGTCATCCAAGCATGGCTACCATTTTGTCTTTTCATTAACATCCCCTCTTCCCTTTATTTTAAAAAATAATTCCTGACGGCAGAGTTATGGCATTTCCATAACATTTGTACTATGTTTTGAATGCATCAAATGCTCTTCAACAAGGAAAAAGTGAAAAAAAGATGGATGTAAAAAATTTTTCTGGATTTCACGTTTACCTACTTTTGAGCCATCAATCTCAGCCAAAGGTGTTTTGCCCACACAGGGACATTTGGCAAATGTCTGGAGACATTTTTGGTTGTCGTGGATGGGGGGCAGTGTCATGAATGCGTGGAGAGCCTGGGGGCACTCTTCAACATTCTTCAGTGCACAACAGAGTCCCCCACCCAAGAAAGTCTCTTGTCACAAATGTCAATAGTATTGAGGTTGAGAAATCCTGATTTGGAGGCTACTGTTCAAAAAGTAGGCATTCTCTCTTTGCTCAAGACTGGCTTCTGGGGTGGACAAATACACAGTGCAGGTTTAATAACTAAAATGTATGTTAAAATTCAAACAAAAACAGGCTTTATAATTGCAAAATGTGAGTAAACAGTAATATGCATCATGTGTTTGCTTTCTATTTGAAAGAGGAATACTTATATACTGAGCATATTTGAAGACTGAGCCACATCAAGATCAAACAACATTCTACTCATTCTAAGAATTTTGATAAGATCACACTTTTAGATATGGTGAAGTTAACATGTTTAGAAAAAGTAACACCCAGTGCCAGAAAGTGAGGGGTTTTGTACATGTTAAGTGCGTCAGGCCAACTTTGAACCTGAGATTTGTCCTATTATTCACATAAGTGGGCGTAGGCAGAAAGATCATCAAAATTAAAGGATAATCCACAAACATGGTACTTTAAATGTCTTTGCCACCAACTTTCTTAATATAACAACCAACCTCCCCAAAATATCATATTCTCATTTCTTCCGTTTATTTTTGAGGTTGGTAAAGTGACATATGCTTCATCTTAATACTTCATCTTAGTGTTTATTTGTTTTGAAAATGTTGAGGACGGGTGCCTGGGTGGCTCAGTCGTTAAGCGTCTGCCTTCGGCTCAGGTCATGATCCCAGGGTCCTGGGATGGAGCCCATGTCGGACTCCCTGCTCTGCGGGAAGGCTGCTTCTCCCTCTACCATTGCCCTTGCTTGTGTTCCCTCTCTCTGTGTCAAATAAATAAAATCTTTAAAAACAAAACAAAACAAAGGGTGCCTGGGTGGCTCAGTCGTTAAGCGTCTGCCTTCGGCTCAGGTCATGATCCCAGGGTCCTGGGATCGAGCCCCGCGTCGGGCTCCCTGCTCTGTGGGGAGCCTGCTTCTCCCTCTCCCACTCCCCCTGCTTGTGTTCCTGCTCTCGCTGCTCTCTCTCTGTCAAAAAAAAAATAAAATCTTTAAAAAAAAGAAGAAAATGTTGAGGTCATGCACTGCAAAATGTCACCTGGTGGATGACACTGAGCATTCAGACATCACGGATGGGCCAGAACAAGCTGGGAGGGACCTGCACACCCACATCGATTGCCCTGGGTGCTCAAACTTCTCCTTTGCAGGCAACAACTTCTGGGCAGCATTTATAAAGCTACTTCCAGCCACTGCCTATCAGCTCACATGCTAGAAGACTGGGGGACGAGAAGGTCCTCTGTGAAGATCCCCAGTCCACACACATGGCCCTGCATTGTGCAGGATGCACACAACACAGTGACCAACAGGTGCAGCGTTTGCTAAGGGAAGGACTTTTGCCCTCAGCGTGAGGCTGTCAAAAGCATTTCCATGCATTAAGCTCTGCAGCTGTCCCTCTTTACAGCTGTGAAATCTTGAGCAAACTCTCAAGCCTCTCTTGGCCTCACCGTCTTCATCTATAGAACGGGTGAGAATATTGGAAGTAAGTGATGCAGGTTAAATAACCACTGCAAAGTGTGGGCAAATTAATAAATATTATCCTCTTCTGCCAATATGGAAAGTAGAATACCCAAAAATCGCTTAGGGAGAGAGGACTATAAAGTCATATACGGTAATACCCACAGCATGTACAGTTTACCATATACTGTATATGGTGCATGCCGCATGAAAGTATACTGTATACCACAGGATATACGGTATACTATACACTGTACATGGTATTTACTGTATACCACAGGATATACGGTATACTATACAC